ACATTCCATTTCATTCTGGTAAAACGTCAGTGTAAAAATGACACTTTGCAGACGTAAAAATCCATTTTGCTCTTTTCAACTCAATTTTCTCAAACTGCGGTCGATTTAATTTGATGTAACATAAACTGAGTTGAGTTTATTAGAGACTAATCTCATTAGATTTCATTAAATGCGTTCATTGATCCTATGAGTTGTTGCAACATTTTCATATCATTAAGTTTAATGTGGTTTAAAATGTGATATCACTTGTCATTAAAATGAAATTAATGATAAACTCATCTCCCCAGAAGCTTTAAACTGCTCCATGGAGAGAAGAAATCAGCGTTTTGAGTTATTTTGTTTTGATTGCTGGAGACAACACTTTGTATTTTTTGTGGCTTAGAACCCAGTTTGATTTATTAGCATGGGGTTTTGCTCAAGCCATAGCTTTGGTTCAAAGACTGAACCCAATACATGGCTTGTTATATCTCGAACCGCCAGCCAGCTGTGTTCAGAGCCAAACACTGTCCCGTCTGGACCCACTGAACTCTGCTCTAAATAGTCCACAAGTTAATTATGATTTTATGTGCTGCAACGTAGCAAGTTCATCATTTAGGCAAATAAACCTCCACAGGAATCACAGACAGGAAGCTTCAAAAAGGCCTTGGAACAATTTTCCTTGTTATTGCGCCTATGGAGAAACGCATGCTTTAGTCTGTCAGCAGAGTATCTGTGGTTCGTTTTTGCTCCAGTTTAATTAATTGGACAGGCACAGACATGTGAAGTCAGTTTAAATTTGTTTTCTTAGTCATCAAAGTTTGGTAATACTAAAAGAAAAATGTTTTGGTTTGTATACCTGTAACTGCTTAAAATTGCTCAAGAAATAATAAATATAGATATCATTTAAAGTTAGTAAAAGCTTCAATGTTTTTTTGTTTAACCTAAATAAGCAGAATAAACTGTTCTTGCTGATGTAAAGTTGTGCAGTTATGGATTTTTATAATTACAACCACATTACATATTAAAATTCCACCTGAAGCAGATATATAAAGGCCTTTCTTGTGCACTCTACTGTATACTTCAGGCAACAATAATTATGCAGTTATTTGCAGTATAAGTATTAGATGATTGGAGATTGAATAGCCTAATAAATGGATGAGAGTTGTCACTTATAATTCAAGGTCATTCTTTTTTTGCATCTGTCCTTGAAAATGGTCGTGAAAGTAGGCAGAGAAACCCAGATGCCTTTCTCTGTTTCATGTTGCAGTCTTACTATCAGTTACACTGCAGCTGCCATACCAAGATGTGCTGCAGCTTGGATTGATGACAAAATGCACCCTCTGCCTGTTTTTTTGGTTTTTTTTGTTATGGATGTTTAAAACCCAGAAGGATTTTTTGTGATGCTGACACTCCAAAAAAAGTGCTGCAGAACTTCTCCACAAGTGCATTGGTGATGTGAAGTGTAGGATAATCAGTCTTTTTTCAGTCGTCCACCAATGAACTCTTTAGTTTCGTTGACATCAAGGGACAGATTGTTGTCTCCACAGCAGCTCACTAAAGCCTGATTTATAGCCGTTGCTCCCGACTTCATGAACAGTGTCTAGTGAAAAAAATAGCCCTCACAGCACCAGCAGGCCAAAATCTTTCCAGATTAAGATTTTTTAGCAGGTTAATTTCTAGTCATTCATTCAAGTGAACAAAAACCAAGAGGGTAAAATTATTGTAGATATTACACAAACTTAAAAAAAAGTGTTTTAGAAAGATCAAACTTTGTAGTTATGTTTATTTGTATGAAGGTTATACTTTCTGTCAAGGCCGGAGTGGGACTCATTTTCAGCCCTGGAGTTACCCATCAACCCTGATGGGGGGATCTGCCCCCCCCCCCCACCCCAGTAGATGATATTTCCTGAATTCTGGTATATTTTAATGAGTTGTTTAACATCTAGTTTACCTACATAAGTAAACTATTGTTTTAGAGTTAATGGCACAACCAAATGTAGCCTGACCAACAGCTCTACTTGTGTGAATAGAGCACTCTCTGCGTCTGTCAGCATCCGAGCCAGTTGTAGGGTCAATAGACAAACGTAGCATTAACACAGTATGAACAACATTCAGGAATTGTTTCTATAAGAACATTATCAAATATTTTACGTGAATGCTAAGATCGCTTCACCCATGAGGAAATGTAACCCAGGGTGAGCTAATCTCCGATTAACAAACAAACAACGTAGAGGTCATGGTGGAGGTAGTGAAGAAACTGGTGTTATCTGAGACATTTAGTGAGGCATTTCTGCCTTATCAGCCAACATTAAGACAAAGAAGACAGACAAAAAAATAAATAATAAATAATAATAAAAAATTCTAAGCTACTAATAACTTAAAATAGTTACTGCAGTGGATTTTATCATGCCACAGAGCAACACAGGACAATAACTCACAGTGAAATTCAATATGTAAGAGTGCAAATTTGACATTACACAACCTATTTAACACTTTGTACAAAATCAGTTTAGTTTTAACAAAGACTAAACTTATACAGCCAGAAGTTACAACATATATCTACATATAAAACAGACCAAAAACAAAGCACAGCTAGCTGTACTCATTAACCTTACATTTAACCATTAAGCATGCAATGTAATTATGACAGGAAATGGAGGATTTACCTGCCGTTACCTTCATAAAAATGAACATGTGGTATTTCCTGTGTATGTTGTATTCAGCTGCTCATGGGGTCGGCCGTCAGCCTTTATTCATCATTTTACGTTTTTCCAAACTCCGTTTAGTTTTTGAAATGGAATAAACTGTATTCCACTCTCTAAACGCTCAGGGTAACATGTGTCTGAATAATTACTTGTTCCCCCGCTGACAACGTTAAATCATTTTTTCTAATGATTTTTCCTGATGCAGCACCTGCAGGTAAGGGGCGTTTACCTTCGGGACAAATTGAGGTTGCTAATTGGTCAGTTGCTGACACGCCTACTGGATTGATTGACAGGACACGTCAAAGAGCTGACTCATAATAATAATAATAATAATAATGTCTTCACAATGTCAGCACTGTATGTTTCCATACATTGGCGAAATTAGTCTCTGCATTTAACCCATCCACCACCAGGTGGTGCAGTGGGCAGCTATTGAAAGCACCCGGGGGGCATTTTGGGGATGAGGCGTGCTGCCCAGAGACACCACGTGATGTGCAGTGACTGGGGATCGAACCTGGAACTTTTGGGTCCCAAGCCGGCTGCCCTGCCTCTACACCATCTCGGCCCCAAATAAATAAATGAGAGATGCCGCCGGCCCTGGGTGGAGGCGGGACGACCTTGGTCCAGCGGTATCGGTGTTAGGTGTTTGTATGTTGTTAATAAAATGTTCTAAAAAATTAAATAAAACCCAGGGAGCGCCGGCCCTGCAGCCCCAAATCAGACTGGCCCACTGGGAAAATTTCCCGGTCCTCCCGATTAGCCACTCCGGGCCTGCTTTCTGTGTATGAATCATTTTGTTGTACTATTCCTACATGTCAATACTTTTCAGTAAACCTACTGTGTAAGAGGAGAACTGCAGTGAGTGCTATATGTCTTCAGCATGGGTATAAATAGCAACTCAGAATTTTTGTAGTCATTGCAGATGTGTTCAATTACTTTTGTGTCATCAGCAAACACAATTGGAGTGTTTGTGCTGCATTTGGCTGTACAGTCAAGAGTCAGCCGAATAAAGAGCAAAGGACCAAATTCACATCCTTGAGCACTGCCTGTGCTTAGTTTGTTTAGTGTGATGTCACTGAAGTCATGATCTATCCATTGACAGAAAGTCCAAAATCCAATTAAAGAGTGAGGTTTTCGGTCTAAGTGGAGTCTATGTAAAGTATCCATCTCCATTTTTGCTGCATATCCCTACTCCGGTCACAGAGGTAGCAGATCCATGAGAAAAGCCCAGACATCCCTCTCCCCAGTGACACTCTCCAGCTTCTCCTGGAAGACCTCATTCCCAGGCCAGAGAAGATGCACAATCCCTTCAGCAAGTTCTGGGTCTGCCACAGGGTGTTTTTCCAGTGTGACACTCCTGAAACACCTCTAAAGGGAAGTATTTAGGAGACATTCTAATCAGATGCCCAAACCACCTCAACTGACTCATTTCAATGTGAAGGAGCAGCGACCACTCCGAGCTCCCCCTGGATAATGGAACTTCACACCTTATCTCTAATGAGTCTTGCCACCCTTTGAAAAACACTCATTTCAACTGCTTGTGTCCGGGATCTTGTTCTTTCGGCGAGGTTTCCTGATCTTTCCATGCTTTTTTGTTTTTATCAAGGGTTGTAAAGCCTGTGTAAAGTTGATGAACAAAATGTTGATGTTGCTATTGTTTTCTCCAGATGGGAGAACAAGGTTTTCAGGGCTTGTGTGATTTCTTCATCTATTGAGCGGCTGACTGAAGTGCACATAAAGTATACAAACTGTACTGGTCCAGAGAAAGATGAAAGGTGGCATTAAAGATTTCATCGACTAGTCACTTGAAGCACTTTATTATGACAGAATTACATACTCAATTCTACAGAAGTCTATCTGTCTAATTGTGATTAGATGGCAACAATGCATTTTTCCCTGTTTGTTTTCGCTTTAACATTCATTAATTTAGCTTTTTTTTTTTCTACCATGTCATTAACTTTTACATCTTCCATCTGTTCTTATTAGGATTCCACTAATTAATCATATGAAACCACACCGCCTTATAAAACAACAATTTCATAGAGAAGTGTACACTGGAGATTCAGACCAGCTGTGCAAGTGTCATGGATTGATTGTATCCTCTTTATAAGTCATCCCCACAGCTGTCAGCCATATTGTTTTCCTGTTGTCATGACAAATGTGCATGTGTGTGTGTGTGTGGGAGGGTGCATATCCTATATAGAACATTTTTCCTGCAGCTTTGTCTGTAAGATCCTACTTTGTACAAAAATAAATGACTCAAACAACACCTTTAACCTGGTCCTGGTAATTTTCAGCCTATGTGTCTTTCAACAGGTTGGTGGTTTGTCAGCACAGCAGAAGAGCAGGGTTGGGTCCCGGCTACGTATCTCAACTCCCAGAGTGGAACAAGAGATGATTCTGAGGTGGGTGCCTCCAAAGCAGGCGAAGGTAAGTCACTGCAAACACTCCTGTCTCCGCCCACCCACACACACCTACAGTTACAAAAACACATATGCTCTGTTGGAAACCAACATGCAAACACACCCTCTACTTTCCGTTGTCCGTTTTTGATCTCCCACAAAGGGGGGAAAACGAACTCACCACAGTTAGCCTGTGTTGACAGCTGAGGCCCCGCCGCTCTGAACGCCTCTCTCTGTTTGGCTGACATTATAAGCACAGAGCGTAGATTCAGACCTGGGCAAACAGAGAGGATCGCCAGCAAAGAGCAAACCACAGTGTCTGAGGTGATGTCCACTACAGTGATGCAGTGTGTAATGTAGTATCAGTGATATGACCCACGTTGGACTGAGCTCATGAAAGAGACATGTGTTTGGTTTTGAGTATTTCACAAGACATGTTTAAATCATGGCAACATTTAAATAAATAAAAAAACATATTTTACATGACTCATGGTGTTTCATGCCATGTCTGCTTATTCCTGAGTGTAGATGTTAGGTTACTGAATGGTGAAATTCAAAACTTGACACTTGTTGCAATGTAGAATTTGATCTGCCAGAATATAAAGGAGTCATGTAAAGCTGAAGATGACGTCCAACCACCCTCATCATGACCCACTTACATACAAATTCTGACCTCATCATTTGTCTTTTAGCAAGACATCTCCAGAAGCGCTGGATGGATTTTAACTAAATTTTCAGAAAGTAATAATAAAATGTACATCTACAGCTTATTAACTTTTGGAGTCAACTTCTTTTAAGATAGCTGCCACAGCTAATTGATCTTAGTGAACACAGAAATAGCAACTCGGTCCATTTTACAGATACTGAGCTACAATTTTGCACTGTAGAAGCTGAGAGTGATTCCTAACACATACCATGAGAAATAATAAATTATGCACAATCTTTATTTAAGGCTTTGACATGTAAAGAGATGGGGCAGCATGGTGGCACAACCGGTAGAGCTACGGCCTCTCAGCGAGCAGGTCCTTGGTTCAAATCCCAGTCCAGGGACCTCTCTGGATGGAGTTTGCATGTTCTCTCCGTGCATGCATGGGTTTTCTTCGGGTACTCCGATTTCCTCCCACAGACCAAAAACATGCATGTTAGGCTGACTCTAAATTGTCCCTAGGTGTAAGTGAGAGAGTGAATGGTTGTTTGTCTCGTTTGTCTCTATGTGGCCCTGTGATGGACCGGAGACCAGTCCAGGGTGTACCCCACCCCTCGCAGACTTATTGCTGGACATGGGCACCGGCGACCCCTGTGACCCAAAATAGAAGAAGCGGGTAAAAGATAATGGATGGATGTAAAGAGACAGGCAAAATTCATTCTTTTAAGTTATGCTAGTTTCTATTTGAATATTAGAGAGCATATTTTAATCTCAAACTGATGGAGCTTAATTAGTGTTAAACTGCAAGTAGATAAACATCTGGGACAAACATCAAGATTTCCCAGCCCTTTGATCAAAGATCGTTTGATAGGGAATTGTGATTAAAATTAAAACTTGGATGCCTTTGGCATCGCATATCTTGTAGATGGAGATAGTAGATGAGGTTAAACTGCATTTCTGGTTTTGATTTGTTGAAATGACTTCTGCATTTGACTCAATGAATACATAAAAAAAAACAGAAAATATACCATAAATGTATAACTACATCTAATTTCCTCAGTCTTATCTCTTCTCTCTGGCAGATATAGCTGGAGTTTGTCAGCTGGGTTGTCTGCTAAGGGCTTTTGGGAGGGACAATCTGTCGGTGTAATTAGTGTTTATGTTCTACTAAGTCAGGGGAATGGCATGAATCTCATAAAGATTCTCTTTGTCAGTTCTTCTGCAGTCTGTGCCACTGTGGTGTCACAGAAAAACTAACATATTTCTGGAAAAATGGAACAGAACTTTGCAGCGCTAGTTAAAATAAAAAGATAAAACGTAAGTAGAGATAAATGGAGACATGTTTATAAAGGAAACTTCTTATCTTAATCCCTTTCACAGGCTTATATTCTATAAATGTATAGCAATTATAAAACTTGCTTGTTGGCCACTAGCAGAGACGTAAACTGCTTGTGTGATAAATGTGAAGCTGGTTTGGGCCGCCCGCTAGAATTTCAGAGAAAATACTAGTAAATGGAGACTCAAACAATTGCCATGAGTCTGTCCAGCATACCTGCCAGAAAAACAAAATCTCTAAATGTTTCAAACCCAGTCTGTTTGAACTGTATATTAAAAAAACACAAGCAGGCAGTTTGACAACTTACAGGGGTTTATTTTCCACACTATTTCTGTCATTAGAGCTGTTGCCAGGCAACAGGAGAATATTATTGGAAAAATAGCTTGTAACTCTGCCATAAAACACTAGCTATTTATGTTTTTACACTTTTGGTTAGTGTTCTTTTTAAGGTCTTAATCAATGCGACAGTAAGTGTTTTTTGTGGATTCAAGCCAATTACACTAGTCTTTTTATGTTTATATTTAAGATATAAGCAAAAAAAAAATCTTTCTCAAATGGCAACTTCTTCAAATCTGATTTTTTTTGGTTGAATTTGCTGCAGTTTCCGTTTAATTACATATATAAACTTAGAGTGAGCAACTTTGTTTATTATTAATAATTTTTTTTGCATCATTAAAAATTAAGAAAATTATTTAAGGGAATTCTTCCGTCATTTGGATGTGACCCAAGTTCTCAGAGGTTAAGAAGTAAATTGTATTTCTTTTCTTTTATCCACAAAATATGAGGTCACTTCAGATGCACATCTCCGACAGGTGGTGCTCTCAGCCAGCTCTGTGAAATGAAGTGCATCCAGCAATGTGTGTCCCAGATGCTCAAACACAACAGGATGAGAACGCCATGCTAACAACATCCTAATTACAGACCAGAGAGAAGATGTCTTGGTTTAACGCTTCCTCTGCAACCATCCATCCACTCTAACTGTCTGCCGTGTTTTGTTCTGTGGTTGTGTTTTTATGGTTTCCACAGAGCTAATAACAGGTTGGTCCATGTCATTTGTGTGCTGTGCGTTTGTCTAACATTTATGCCTGCTCTCCATGTCTCCATATTTGTTTGTTTGCCATCGTCTGGTCACCATGTGTCAGTTACTAAGCGACATAAAGCTCATCTGAAGAGGCTCGACCGGAGATGGACGTTGGGGGGTGTCATCAGCCGGCAGCAGAGCCGAGGTGAACAGAGACAGATCATACTTCACCTCCCTTCCTTTGTCTTAATCTTCTTTTTTTAATTTATTGTCACTTCATCACGTGACTCAAATTGTCCTCGTCTGCAAGCGCGTATTTGTTTTGTCTTGCATCCCCTGTCGTCTTCTAGGAAACTCATTTATCATCAGGTACAAGCCATAAAACTAACCACTAACTTGTGTTTTGTATAAAAACATAACAGAAAGGTGAAATGAGCAACTTTACAAGCAATTATTGACGCTTAGCTCAATTTATGTTACAAATCTGCTTCTCATAGGTATTTTTTTATTGTTGGTATGTTATGAGCCAAAACCAGTAATCTGAGCTTTGCAGAAAATAGAAAAAGGAGAACATCATTACCCGCTCATCTGAAAGTGGTGTAGTAATGGACTTTGGAATGCCTTAGGCTGCATTTTGGAGCCATATTTTACTTTTTATGAGGAAATGGAGCATAGATGTGTAGATTTCCATTGAGTGTGTTTTATAGCATAAACAGTCATTCATCTTGCTCCGTTCCAGATAGCAACCATATTGACTGATAAACAATAAGCTTTAAAATGACTTCCTTAATTAGCAAGAACATCACATTTACAGTCAAATACATTTTCAATGTTCTCTTTGCGAAAGTCACCTTTTCATATTTTTGTCTTTCGCGAAAAATGCGTTTGAATTTTTGACAGAAGAGAGGGGAAAGGCCAGACTTTGCTCTTGGCAGTGCATGCTGCTCTCTGGAGTGGAGAAGCTCGTTTCCACCCTGTGACAGAAAATCTGCTTCGTGTGGAAAAAAATAAAATCAAATCATATTTCGCTCACTCCACATGAATAATTTATTGCACTGATGCAGATGGTGCATGTTGTGGTTGACATGACATCTGATTCAGAGTTTCCCCTCATCATGTTGCTAAATATCGTTTAAAAAATGGGATTTGGGGGAAAAAGAAACAGCGTTTTCACAAATAGCTTGAGAAAAAACAGTTTACAGAACATATAAAACAGTTGAGTTTGTTTAAACGGTGGGTTTGATACCACACAGCCACTCAGCTAGCATGGAAATATGGGTGGAAAAAAGCAAAAAGTAGCCACTGTGTAAAATCAAGCCTAATGACACACAGAACAAGACTTTTTCTGCTTCCTCCCTTTTGCCTTATCTGTCATTGTTTAATCAGGAAGTGCTATAATAACAGGAAACAATGACTCTGCTCTGCCCTTCGTCCTCATGGGAGTGCATAATGGAGGATAATGTACCGAGTTAGGAAATGCTGTTTGTCACAAGGTTATTGACACTGATCATGTACTACAGCCACATTTGTTTTCTTGGTACTGTACAATAATGAAGTTGTTGAAAAGACTTCAGCCATAATTCATTCTATAACATTTTAAAGGAAAGTTTGTGTGTTTTGTGGGTATAGTTGTTTCTCTCTTTGTAGCCATGGGACGGACTGAGCGTAGCGTACCACGTCTTTTGCTCACTGACTGCTAAAGATAGATGCAAACGGGTGAAGAAAATTATTTGAATATCAGAAGATTTTGCCAAAAAAGCCACCAACACCAAAGAGAAGAAAAAAGTAATAATTGCACATCTTTTTACAAAGTCATTTATTTATTCTTTTTTATCAAATAATTTGCAAAAAATTTGATTATTCCACCCCAATGTAATTTTTTGTCCGTCCATCCATCCATCCATTATAAATTATATAATATATATATATATATATATATATATATATATGTATATATA